TAAGCTAATTAATGCATTCTTCATTTGAACTGTCAAGGGACAGTTTTATAAACCGAAAATGATGACGGCTGATATAGGAAATTTTTTATGTAGAGTTACAATATGCCCGAAAAGTTTATTCCGTTTTATGGAAACTCCATAGTCGTAATCACCAACGAGTTTAATTTTCAATCTCAAAGCACCGAAGATCTGACCGATGTTTCGAATCAGATTCAACCTACCCTCAACAGCGATGTTATTCACACAGCGCTTGTCAAGGTACAAGCAGTGATACGAGCAAACTTTTCAGTGCACAGTGATTTGCATTTTCGATAAAGGATGGTTAGTGCCTTTGATCCTCCTATGCTTACGTATTCTTGTGGATCCGTCTGAATCTGTCTTATCAGCCCTTATGTTATTTCTTTCCGCACAGGCAGTAATTCTTCCCATTTGTCTCTGATGAGGCGTTCGCATGCCTGTATGAGAAGTGCCTCATTTTTCGTTTCTTATCGCTCGCTTAAATTCGTGTCGCGTTCATATGTCCAAAATGGACTTTTATGACTTTCTTGCGTGTTCCTTCACTGTTGTGTCCCATAAACTTTTTTATTGCAGTAGGATCTTTGGTCTGTCATCCGCCACATACCCTTTGACGCAGTCCTCCTTCTCTTAGAGCTCGGGCTGTTCGTCCTACTAGCGTAGAGAAACGTTCATTTTTCCTGTCGTAGTTCGTCTTTCACGTTCATCCTACATGTAATGCCAGTGTCTTATTCTCCTTTCCAGCACTGTCGGTGGCTGGCTTTGAATGGTAATAACGGTTAGTATGGATTAGTTTGTGATGAATTTTGTGATACATCGTTAAAATGGAAACACGATCGGCGACTGGAAATAAGTACACTTTTAATCTAACACGTGGAATAACGCAAATCTAGAGCAAGAGAACTCTTCAGTGAACTAGTGGCGGAAGACAAGCAAAGTTTTACTGCAGTAAACAATAAATCTGCAATGATTTCTCCAGCGCAAAACGTACATTTCGTAAAGGTCACACAGTTGTGAATGTTTTAAACGATATTGCATGAAAAGAATTATTGTAAGAGGAAAATAAGTATTTCTCATGCAGAAACAAATTCCTCACCAGAGACAACGGAAAAAATGTCGTCTCTCTGGAGAAACAGCAAAGAAAATGAAATTAAACCGATTCAAGCGGACATGCAACTGAACGTGTCGCCTTAAGCAGAGTACGAAAAAACAAGCTTGAGAAGCTCA